CACAATCTAGTCAATATATAACTTCTTTTTCTATCTCGCAATTAACAAAATGCTATATGATGTTATAATCGCATATATCCAGTTGAACCGCTTAATTAACTATTATGCGATAATTTATCGTATATACAACAACAGACTTCCATATCGAACGCATGATTTACGATTACGCGAAATTATTTTGCATATCTAGCGATTGCATATCCAGTATCAACTGCATACTTTACAATTACACAATTTTTTTTTTCCATATTTAGTTATTGCATATCGAAATCAAACACTGCATAATTCAGAATTATACGATATATATATTTTTTTTTACATATTTTACTACTCGCATATCCATATCCCACACCAGAACAGAAAGTAGTGTGAACTAAATAACTAATGCACGTGGAATGTTTGACACATTATTTTGGACCATAGTATAATTAACATTAAAAACGGGGTAAATACAAGCACAGATATATGCATGCATATTGTATCTTCATATAATTTTATATATAAGAATTCAGTCTCCAATTTACTACTTCAATTTCTACTCACTAGCTAGTAGAGCGTGGGGCATTATATTATTTTGAATATTTTTCATGTGGAAATAGCCAAACCTGTTTCCATAAGTTATATAAGGTCCCAAAAGTGGAAGTATCAACTTGTCAAAGATTTGTGTTTGTATATATATAAAAATCAAATCCATACAATATGGCACTACCTACCTGAGGTTGAGATCTCATCTAAACACTTGGAGATCATTTATACCAATATAATTAACTAGTACACCACCCGTGTATTACACGGTGCTTGTTAAAAAATTATTTTTAAATTTTAAAGTTAATGGGAAAACTATATTAAATTTAGTTTACTTTTTTTTTAAAAAAAAAAAATATATTACTATATATTTTAGAATGATATGTGTTACTTATGACTTACATGTGTTATATTATATTAGTTGTTATAACTTATATCATATAACTACCTGAAATATAAATATATTAGTTGATAAATAATTTTATTTTTCTAATTAATATTAAAAATAATTTTATTATTGTTAAAAAAATAAATAAATTATTTTTTTATACATACAATATGGATGTTAAATCGAAGCTCATCAAAAGAAGATTAATTTGATATATTACATATGTAAAACTGATAAAAAATACAAAAGTTATTAACTTTTAAAATATATATACAATTCAATAGTTATAATAAGGAATGATATTAAAATACAACTAATACATGTAACATGACCATAAATAATCAACATATTTATGGTAATCCGAACCTGTTTTTGATTTGGAATTAAATTAAAATTTACCCAAGCCTAATAACAAAGCATGTAATTTTGCCACATAGGATTCTAAAGCACCAGAAACAGCCACGTAGGCTCAGCGCGTTCTGTATTAATATATAGGGGGATTAGTACTGAAATTTATTAAATATCCACTAATTTATGGACTCAACTTTTTCAAAATATATATCAAGGGAGTTACTTTTATCAATCAATGGGTTGAATCAAAATACCGAGAAACCAACACGAGTTTGATTCAAGTGGTAAGCGGCTCGATGTCGCTTAAACAAGATCTCGGGTTCGAGTCTTTATGGATGTAGAAAATTTTTATCGGGAGACTCACCCACTACTACCAGGTGTGCGACTCAGGTCGACAAGGGATTAGTCGGGGCATAGCTCCGGATACCGTAACTGGCTACCAAAAAAAAAGAAAAATGGACATAGAATATGTATATCAATATAACTAAATTAATCATGTCCCCAGTTATTATATCACCCATAAGTATAAAAATATAATTTCTGCTTTGTAACTTCATTATAACCTTCTAATTGAAGAGCATTTTCAATAAAATTGTCACACCATTAATTATGCTCAAGGTGTAAATTCAATATATAATAAGATGTACCAAAAGGTCCAAGACTCGTAATTGATTGTTAGATAAACTAAAGCATGGAGAATGAACTCAAAATGTGGAGAATTGATTGCACTCAGTTGATCAGATTTTACACCAAGGTTCAATCATTATATACAAGCCGAGAGTAGGCGTTGTATACACTGTATAAGCGGCTCGATTGTTTCAATCTTATACCTTATAATAGCTTCACTCAATCACCAATGAAATACGGAAAGCACATAAAATCGACACTGGAGCGTAGTACATCTTTCTGTACAAGAGGCTCCAAATGAGTTATGATCGGATGGGTTCTTTCAGATTCTTGCTAATGCGGAGTTGTTTTGAGTAGATCGGTACATCTACGTAGATTATTTTAAATTAACTAGTTTTATTTTTTCTTTAGATTTAATTGTTAATTTGGCCATTGAGGTTTTCTTGAGTTTGTTTTACGACATCCACGTTCCTTAACATTCATTCAATAACAATTTACACTATCTCTCATTCACATCATCTTTTTACTAAATATCTCTCCATTTAGAGCATCTCTGATGCTATAACTTTGAAAGACAATAATTTTTAACACATGTCAATCAATGATTGTAATGTTAATCCATGTAGGAATAATGTTAAAAGAGTAAAAATTTGAATCATATTAGTATCTCCAATGCATCAATTTGATAAGAAGTTAATTGTATAGGTGGACCAATTCAAATAATTATTAATACAAAAATAACAAAAAAATTAAATCAACTATAAAGTAAATTGATTAGTCATCATGTTTAACATGGCGTCAGATATTAGAAAGTGTGATCAATATTGTCAACATTAAATGCTATCCATATCATCATGAAAGAGCTCATGACAAGATGGATTGGAGAACAATTTAGTAACACACTTTCGAATGTTGATCATTGGAGATGATCTTAAACACACACTCACATTCAATCATTCATTTAAACACAAACATATAGGACAATTACCCACTTATTCAATACATTTATATTTTATTCTTAATAAAAATAAATGTATTTTTTAATTACAATATCTAATTTTAAATTTTAAAATACACCATATATTATTAGATTTAAAAAAAACATAAATTAAGATTACAAAACAAAAAAAAAAACTAATTGAAAAACTAAAAAAAAAAAATAATAATTAAATAATTCATTGAAACAAAACCAAACAAAATAAAAATAAACAAATTAATTGAAAACAAAACTAAAAATAAAAAGAGACACCAAAGAGTTCAAACATAAAATAAAATATGATTTTAAAACAAAAGAAAAAAAAAAGAAAAAGAAAAAGGGGCATTCAATGAAATGAAGGAGGAAGTGGGGCCCCCTTAATAGATGAGCCGCATCCGTATTAACGCAGGGGCATTTAGAGCATCTCCAATGATAAGTTGTCCATTTTAAGTTGCATAACATGGAGAAAGGAGATTAAAAAATTACTGTCTCCAATGGATTATGTTTAAAATAGTTTATTATGACATGTGTAAATTTATAATTGGTTGAAAAAAGTTAAAAAAATTGAATATGTAATATAATATATAATAAAAGTTGTCTAGAAGTACTTCTACATCTAGAAAGACTTCTAAAATTTTTTCAGGCCACATAGGATTTTTTGGGCTTATTATTTTTTATTCATTTTTCTACAAATTAGCGAGCCTAGCTTGGAAAACCTGCATCCTATGGCGGTGGGCCTTCATTTCTTCGGCCCGCCATGATGTGGGCCGACCCGTCCAACCCCAACCAACGAAAGGAAGAAATGACCCATTATGGCTACTTCTAGTGATTTTATTGTTTTTAAATGCAAGTTACGTATTATGGCTACAAATTGCCCTTAGGTATTTTTCCCAACGGAAGTGCAGGTTTCCCAACGGAAGTGCAGGTTAAATAATTTAATATTTAAAAAACTACTAATTTTATTTCATATAAATACGCATAA